TCGGTTCTCTGAGCCACCCAACGGGAAGGCTAGATACAAGAGCTGGTTGGCACCAACTGGCCCCCTGCTGTAGACCCCCCAAAAGGCACCACACATTTGCTCCTGCCTCCACCCCCTCCTCTGCAGAGATCCGAAGCTCATAAAGATGGGCAGGTTCCTTGGGGCCTCCAAGATTAATTTGAGGGCAGCTTCCTGCCCCTCACTTCAGAGCAAGGAGGCTCTCCAGCCTCACCCCCTCCCTCTTGTGGGGCACAGCCTGGCAGTTGTTGGGACCCCTTTCTCCCAAGAGACCATGAGAACCCCGCAGGAGGCCTTTCCATGCCCAGCACTTCACCCGCCGGCAAATGGCACCCTGCCCAACCAGCCTCCCCCAGCCATGCCGGGCTGCTAGTCTGAGTGGCCATGCCGGCAGGGGATTATGAGAGCTATAGTCCAACCCAGCTGGAGGGCCCTGGGTTTTGGTGGGAGGAGAACCCCCAGCTGTGCAGGTGTGAGAAGGGGGAACCAGGGAAGAGGTTTTTTTTCACTTGCCCACACCAGATGCAGGTGGTGCTGGCGCTGCTGGCAGAAGTGTCTCCCCTTGTGTTTTGGGGCAAATGGAGAAAGGATGCAAACAGGTGCAGCTGGGCTGAATGCAGAAGCACAGGAGAGCCCCTGCAGAGCCGAAGGCACATCTCTTGCAATGGCCCATCCCTGGGTGCCAGAATGGCATGGAGGGAGGGATAGGCAGGGGCTTTGGCTTGCCCTCCTCCCTTTCTGTCCTGATCCCAGCAGAAGCAGACTGGAAAAGGCACAGGCGGGGCAAGACCGGAGGCGCCAAAAGCGAGTCCTGCAGCAGGAGTGGAGGGGAAGGGGGGCGGGGGCTTTTCTAGGCCCGAAGGGGGCAGAGAGGAGCCGGGGCAGCCTGGACTTGGGGAGGGAGGGGTGCGTCTCCCACCCGCAAGGGGGGCTGTCCCAGAGACCGTGGGCCTGCTGCCCCAAGGACCTGGGGTTGGGGTCTAGTGCGAGGCTGCTGTGGATTCAGGGGAAACCCCCAAGGGCCAGAGAGCCCCAGAGAGCGTTGCAGGCAGGCAGGGCTCCCGAACAGCAAACACAATTAACTCGAGGACACGGAGTGGGAGGCCCGTCCCCTCTGGAGTCAAGTGAGTGAAACAGCTGCCTGGAGGGATCCTTGGGCTGACCCCCAGGTGGCCCCACATGAGAATGGCCTGCTGGACCAGGCTGCAGCCTGGCCCATCCCGGCACGTGGCTCCTCCCGTGGGCCCGCAGGGGCCGCTTGGGCGCTGGAGGCTTTTTTCCCCCCCCCCCCGCTTCTTTCCCCGGAATCGGCATTTGCAGCCCGGCTGCCCCCAAGCAGGAAGACGCTTTGGAAGTTTTCTTTGCAGGAGTTTTCAGCCCCCTTTTCAAGCCATCCCAGCTGTCGGCCGTCTCTGCCAGTTTTGTATCCCCGAGTTCCACAGGTCTCATGTGCTGACTTGCTCGCAGCTGTTTCCTGCAACTGTGCTTGTATGTGGGCGTATGCACCATGGCTACTACCCCACAAGAGCATCCCCCCACCACCAGGAGGGCCCCATTTTTCAGAGCATTATTGCTGCCTGCTCTGCGCTGTGCAGCACCTGGCGCCGCACCTCCTCCCCACAGGCCTGCTCTGGCCACAAGATGATGCACATCTGGCCCTGCTCCACGACGCCAGCCTACTCGACCTCCCTCCCCCTCCGGTTGAGCCAGAAGTCCAGAAGAGACACTGTAATTAGGAGGCCATAATTAGCCGGCCACTTTCCTGTTCTTTGCTGCGGGCCGGGCGCAGGAGGGCCTGGATGAGCAGGGCGGGTGCCGGGCCAAGGGATCCTTCCAAGATTGGGAGGGCTCAGTTGGGGGGCAGAGAGCTTGTGGAAGCTGAAACTAGCGTGGAGTCCAAATGCAAGAGTGATCTCAGACTGGCGTTTTGAAGGGCATTGTGCGTCGAGTGGGTGAGGCATGTCCTGTGGGGAAAGTCCTGCTTGCACAGGGAAGGCTACAGGTGTGACCCCCCCCAGCTTTCCCGAAATTTGATAGCAGGTGCTGGGTGGGGGAATCCCAGCCAGCCCTCAGGGCAGGCAAGGTGGGTCCCTGGAAGGAGCAGTCGTCTGCCGGGCAGAACAGCCCCCCTTCTGTTGCGGGTCGTGGCCCTGCCTCTCCAGAACCAGCCTCCGCCACATTTCCCAGCCAAATCCTGACCCAGCAGAAGGAGGGGTCTGGAGGCAAACAATGGTTTTGCACAACGCGCTCGCTTAAACCGTGCTTTGGCCCATAAACTACCACTGGGTGGATCCACACAACACATTAAGCCAGCCATAAAATTGGCCTGAGCCAAGCAAACTGACCCCATGGCTCAGCGTGATGTGGGACCAGGCATGATGTGGAACTGGTGGGGAAGGACAGCCCCGCCCTCCCGACACAGTAGAAGGATCTGCGGTCAGCCCAGCATCAGCTGCCCTTCCTTCGGGGGGAAATAGCACTTCCCAAACTCTCCCTTCGGAGTGGCCTTGGGGGACCTGCCCTCTTGGTCCCCTTTCCTGAAACAGCTCTCCCAAGCCCCCCTCCACCTGCGCTGGATCCCCACCTCTGGGCCCTTCCAGACTTTTCCAGAAGAGAAGCGATCCCGCCCCTCACCTCCCGGGGCTTTGGTCAGCTGCCGCAGACACGGCCCGGGGCACCACCGCCACCACTGCCACTGAGCTAAGCCACCAGGCTGGCCTTCTGCAAAATGCTTGACTGTTTTCTGAGCTTCTCATATGCTGTATTAATTTGCTGGATGCAGACAACACATTTAAGCCCCAAACACAGCAAAGACAAACAAAGGCAGGTGATTAGGATGGGGGGGGCATACTGCCCACAGTACCCACAAAAGGGTCTGGGAGGGTCACAAGCTGAACCTGAGCCAAAGGTGTGACGCAGCTGCAGAAACAGCTGGCACACTCCTTCCAATGCACCCATCCACATCAAGCTTATTCAGTGCTCCACAGCAAGCAGAGACGGCTCAGCCGGCCCACCCATTTCCAACCCTCCCTTTCCAGGCTCGGTAAAAGGAGCCGTCCACTGTCTCCAGTTTGAGCCCTCTGCTTCAATGTGCCTGTGTGGAGCCCTGCCAGGCTGGGTGGCCAGAGGCGGCCATCCTTGCTCACAGGGACCAGCGCGTGTTCTGGGTGTGAGAAAGGAGCCAACACAGGTGCCAAAGTCATGACTGTTCACACAAACACGCCTCAGTAGTTCATCCAGAGGACCCCAGGCAAGGCCTGCACCAGTCCTGCACATCTCACTGTGAAGGGGGAGGAGGCCGGTGAACAGGGGCCCCGGCCTGGGGTGGCATGGCTGCAGGCAAAGGGCGGCCCTTGCTCTCGCGACCAGCTTTGGGGTGGGTGGGGCGCCTGCGGCCTTCCCACTCCACCCTGGCTAATTGCAGCCTTCCTTCCTAGGATCTGGCTGAGAGTGCCTGCCCGCAGCAATCCTCTTGTGCCTGTCCAGATGAAGAGCTTGCCTCTGTCTTAAGGGGGGCTTTGCCCCCCAGGTGGATGAGACAAAACAGGGTGCCCCCCAAAAGGCCTTCTTCCTTTGCTCCCTCTTTGGAGCACCAACCTGCAAAGGCCGAGGGGCCTGTCAGCTGGCAGAGGCGTGGCCAGAGCCCCCAAAAGCCCAGCGGGAGGTCAACTCTAGCGCAGTCGCGGGCGGGCGGCCCGGCACCGACCCCCGAGGGAGTCGTGGCGGCCCTGACCCCCCCTTGGGCCCGTCTCCTGCGTCCAGCCTCGCACTGAGGCTGCAGTCGTTCCTTTGGCTTCAGCGCCAGCACCGCTCAGTGCGCGCAGAGAAGCCCCGCTTTCTCCCCAACACGCGCCAGGCGCGCCCTCTGCGCCAGTGAGCCAGGAGTGCCCCGCAAGAGGGCGTCCCAAGGCGGGGGGGCAGCCTGGGGAGGAGGGGCCAATGGCAGATCGCCAGCGCCGACCCTTCCTCTGCTTCTTCCGCGGCGAC